TGCGCCTTTTAGTACGGTGCGCCTTATGGTCGTGAAAATACGGTAATAATGCATAGATCAGGTTTGAGAAATCTAAATTAGTTATCCCATTAACTAGTGTTCAAAACATCCATAGACCTACCCCCTTTTGTCTTCATACACTGTGCTGACTGATGTCATTAAATCTATTTTCTCATTATTTTCCTGTCTCGCTATTTTCAATTATCATTTAAAGGAATCCAACCAAATAATCTACCACAGATATAAAATATAATTCTAGCCCATCTTCATCAGACATGCTGCTTACCTTTAAAAACATCTGCTCTAAATAAGTAAATAAGTACCGTCTAATCAGTTTAGCTAACTTTTGTACTTTATCTGTATAAATTAATTTCCATTTTTGTAAAGTGCCTTGAGTTGTTAAGTGGGGCGCTATAAATATGGAGCATTTAAATACACCCAACACTGATCAGTGTGAACCATGTGAAAAGACTCTATAGCTGCATCATGTTGGCTGATTAGAACAATAAAGTGCAGCAATACTCACCCCCAAATGACAAAGATTGGAAATGTGGAACTTTTCGTACTTTCAGCCTGGTGAAGATCCGCTGGATGCCCCATGGACTCATCGTACTGGAAAGCAATACGACACTCAGTACTATCCGGTACTACAGCCGGTATCACTGAGCCATCTGAAGGCATTACTTTAGAGCTTAACCATTGACCTTACCCTACGGTCTCAGCAATCTCCTCCCAGTTGATGTCAGCTGCATCCTCCACAGCACTGTGGTACAACCTAGGAAGCAGAAAAGGTACGTAGAACCACCATCTCAGAACCGCTCCAGATCCCATAGAGTAATTTCTAACTTCTCCCAGAGTTAGAAGTCCTAGGAGAAGGAGTGGGTCATGTGACTGCCGTGTGACCTTACGTGTTAATGAGGCGGATTTTGGCCGAGTAACTTTCAGCTCCTCTGTTGAAGGCGTTTCTGTAAATGTTCATGCGGTGCTCCAGAATGAAGAGCCTGTAACATAAACATTACCAACATCAGCGTACTGTGGAAGCGCCACTACTATAAAGTACACACTAAAGAGTACTCTACCTGTGTGTTATTTGTTACTTATAACTGTGTGTTAGTATTTTTACACAGACCTAAAAGCAATCACCATCAGACTGCAGTTTGCAGAGAAGCTGATTATGTGGAGAGGAAGGAAAGCCTCCGTTAGGGTGGACATCTTTGAAAGAGCGCTTCTAGAACATTTCAATCAACCGCAGTAGATCATCACCATGTTAATTGTTTTAATTAAATTCTATTCAGTATATTTCTATAGCTCCAATTCACATCATGTCATCTCAGGTCACTTTCCAGTTCACCAGATCATCCAGTCAGATTGATTCAAAGTTTT